GAGAGAGAGAGAGAGAGAGAGAGAGAGAGAGAGAGAGAGAGAGAGAGAACACAACCTGGTCGCAGACAGGATCTGGGACCGAAGCCAATCTGTCATTTATTACTCTCTCTAAGCCTCAGCTTCTCCATCTGAAAAATGAGTTCAGCCCTCCGTCTCTGATCAATCTGTGGTGAGCTTAGAAGGGAAGAGGAATTACCTACCCTGCCAGGTATAGACTGGCGCATAGTTGGCATGGGAATCCAGTGGACGTGGGACCTTCACCCAGCTCTTGTTAGCATGTTCCTGCCTCTGGTTAGATGAGGGACGCAGACTGGGTTCCAGTTCTGGGAGCTCTAGATGAACACGACCATGTTACTTCCCTCTTTAGAGAGATTCTCTCTGGAGGTCTCAGTGAGCCCTGGTGGAGAAGACCAAAGAATGGGTTCTTAGAAATCTCCAGCCGTGCTCTTCTCATTCCAGGTCATATGGCTCAAACATACAAATAGATCTGAGAGCTTCAGTGCTCCGTGTGACCCTAGAGAGTGGGGAGAGAAGCAGGAACACTGACACAAAGTCCCCTGTGACTCCCAAACCCACTCCACAGGCAGAAGCCAAGTGCAAGTCCAGAAGATCTCCCCAGATACAACCAGCCCTTTGTTGTGGGGTCAAAGTTCACAGCCCAGATCTGTCCCCCAGCAAAACAAACTGGCCCTGCAGCTGTCAATCACTGGAACAGGAATAAAAGCAATTGGTCCAGAGGGCCAGGCCCCTAGGCAAGTCAGGAGCTGTCTGAAGGAACTCCCCTGCCCACCCCTCACCCTCTCCAGGCTCCAGGAGAATGAGGCCCTTTGTCCCCCTACAGGCTCTTGTCTGGCTGGGGCTTTGACCAGGGAGGGCAGCCGGGAGGGATTTTTAGAGCCCTTCCAGCAGCTTTCCCAAGGGAAAAGGGCTGCATGGGTGTCTGGGTGTCTGGATGGCTCTGGGTAAGGGCAAAGCAAGCTTCCTATTGCTGCAGAGCCAAGGTCCTGGGGCAGCACTCCGTCTTTCTCTCCTCCATCCCTGCTTTCTTTCTCCCTTGTTTCTTGTCTTGAGCAACATCCCCTCCTCTGTCTGCCTTCACTCCCCGTCTCCCTCTGACCTCTGTCCTTGCTTCTATGCTCACCGTCAGTCATGTCTTTGCAGGTACAGGCTGTGGGTGGACAGCTGCTCAGAAATGTTCGGCGGCCTAGACATCTGTGCTGTCAAGGCTGTCCACAGCAAGGATGGCAGAGATTATATTATCGAGGTGAGGAATAAAGCAGGAGGGTCTAGCCTGGACTAACCCCGGCAGGAAAAACACCAAGCTGAATCCCAGCAGGGTAGCCATGTACTGGCTCCTGGCCTGCCTATCTGTGAGACACAGTGAGACACTCCCAGAGGTATCCATCTCATGTTTCATGTGCCCATCTCAGCTGTAGCCACAGCTGGGAGCCTTCCTGTTCAGTACTCTGAGCTCAGAGTTCAAAACTCGGGGTACAGTATTTTTCCCAGCTTGTCAGGCCAAGAGTCCACAATATTCTGTGCCAGCATTCTCGTTGTTCAAGCGCATGAAGTGAATGTACTTCCTTACCACTGTGCAAGGGTTCCATCCTTATGTTCCTTCAAAGAAGAAAACATGGGCTCCAGGGGGTCCCTTGGGCCAGGCACTGGGTAATTCTGAGACACAGTTTTGAACACAGGAGATTCAGAATTTACAGGCTGCAAGGAAAGGTGATGGGGCATTGTTGAGCAAATGGACACCATTGCACAGGGTGTGATGGGGTGGGGGAGGGCAGATGCAACTACCAGAGATAGAGTTGTAAGAGATGTTCACAGATGGACAGTGGGACCATCTGCAGCCTATCCATCTCTCCAGCCCCCAGTATCCTCTTACCTCTATGACCACTTCCTACCCTCCTCAGAGCTCCCTCTCCTTTCTTCTCCAGTTCCTAGCCTCAAACACTTCCACAGCTTTATCCTGAAGCACCCCTGTGGCCTCAGGGGGCTCCCCTCCAACCCTAGCTACTTCTCTCCACAATCACATGTGGGCCTTTCAGCCCTTTCCTTCCATTAGGTTAGCTCCTCAACCCATAAGGGAGGAATGAGCTGACACCAGGCCAACACATGTGAAGGGTACCCTGTGGTCACCCTTCCCCTGCAGCTGCCTCTCCACGAGTGTGGGAAACTAATGAGTGGCACATGGCGGGGATGACCACAAGCAGTCAACCAGTCCTCCAATCCCTGTGTCTGCCCCGCTGCCTAGGAACCAACAAGCAAACAGCACCAGGTAACTGAATGGGTTACCACCAGGTCAGGGAGGGGTTCCCTTGGCAGTGGGGACCAGGAGTCCAGGCCAACAGACAGTCTCACTAGTTGACTGACTAGGAAAGTTGAATGCTCCCACCAGGTAAGTGGCATCTCTGTGTAGGACCCCATCCTCCTCTCAAGTCAGGAACCACGGTCCCTCTGACTGTTACCACAGAACAGAGGTGAGTTGAGAACCACTTCACCTGAGACATCAGCAGCACCTGTCAAACCATCCAGCATTGCCTTTCCTCACTAGGACACTAGACATGAATCTGGTTTGGGCACATATGCGTGTGCAAACATACACACACACACACACACACACACACATTCATTTCTTCACTCTGGGCACCAGACTCTAAACCAGATGAATGGGGCTCCGATGTTATAAGAGAGTAGGAGAGGTCTGCTATACCATTAGGAGGACCAGAGAGCTGGAAGATGGCATATAGTCAAGAACTCTTGTTGTTCTTGCAGAGGGCCTAGGTTTGGTTCTCAGAATCCAATGACATGGTCACAGCCATCCGGAATATGCATACATAAACATACATGCAGGCAAACACACTACACATAAAATAATAAACCTTAAGGAGTAATAAAAGGATATGGACTGGTTTCCTCCTCTCTTGGTTTACACACACACACACACACACACACACACACACACACACACACACACACGCTGATATAGGTCCGCATGGCTTAGAACAGACCACACCAGACCAAACGGTTCCAAGTGGGGTTTATTCAGGAGATAAGGCAAAGGTGGGGGCAGGAAAAAGAGGAGGAAGAGAGAGGTCAGGAGGCTCTGCCTGTTTTATATGGGTGGTGACATAGCCTCTCTCAGGTAAAGGTGGGAGGTAGCCAGGTGGATTCTGGGAATACATGGTGGTTGCCTTGGCAACGATGTGGGGGTCACCTAGATGTGATGTCACTGGGTTTGGAGACTGATACCACCTCTCTCTCTCTCTCTCTCTCTCTCTCTCTCTCTCTCTCTCTCTCTATCTCTATCTCTATCTCTATCTCTCTCTCTCTTACACACACACACACACACACACACCTGTGAGCTCTGGTCTCTGAGCTCTCTCTACTTTCACAAAAGCCATTCACAGCCAAATGCCCCAGCTCCGGACACTCAAGGAGGGGAGAAATGAAAGATGCTTCACATTTAAAACAAAACAAAAAAAAAGCCAGTTTGGGTCTTCTAAACATAAGAAAACAGCTTTTCAGAAATGTTCCCGAAAACCTCAAACAAACAAACAAAAAAGATGGCTTTCAGATTTGTTTTTGATCTTTTCTTTTTCCTCAGAAACATTAGAGAATTGTTTTCCCTTGGAGTTTGGGGTGGGGTCAGGAAGAGAGGGAGCTTGTTCCTGGGAATGTAAAATGTATTTTTCCCAGTAAGGGGGGAAAAGGCAGCAGAGACCCAGCACTCGTGACATATTTGTGAGGGTGCTCAGAGGAAACACCCTGGCCCTCGTCCTCTCTGACCTGGCCCAGGGGATGGCCTTGCTCACTGGGAAAAAATGTTTCCCTGGGGAGAGTGAGTATCCACTTCCTTTGTCTGTGTCCACTGTGGGGATTCCAGTTCTTGACCTCAGGCTCCTTGTAGCGGCCATTTTCCACCACAGAGAATTCCGGAATGATCCAGGGTGAAAAGGGTGGAGGAAAGAGGGACAGGCAGGGTGCTGGGACGCCAGAAGCATTGGGGTCAGACTCAAGCACTGCAGCTGGAGACTGCCTGGGACCCCAGAAAGCTCCATTTAGGGACAGGTTACAGGCCCTTCTGGAATTCATACCTGCACCCTAGTTTGCTTTTCAGTTTCTGAGGCACTCCCAGATGCTTACACTCAAAATCCCCTGAAAGTCACACCCAGGAGACCTTAGCAGCTGCCTCAGGCTTCCCCTAAGCAAGTCCACAGCAGAACACAGGCCTGGAACCCTGGCTGCCTCATGCGACGTCAGAGCTGCCCAGTGCTTTGTTAGAAGGCCCCTGCTGCTATAGACCTTTCCAGCAGTCTCCTCAGCACTGATGAGGAAACCGTAATAATTGTAAGACTTGCCCCAAAGACTCATTCTGAGATAGGGTCCCATGTAGCCCAGTCTGCCCTCAAATTCAATATGTAGGAAGACCTTGAACTTCTGATGCCCCTGCCTCTGCCTTCTGGATGCTGGAGTCATAGGTGCTGGGGGTGGAAGTCAAGGCCCCAAGCATGCAAGGTGAGCACTCTATTCACATCTCCAGTCCTGCAAAGTGATGCTTGCTCGAAGATAGCGCTGACTTCATCTATACCTGGTTCTTAGAATAGTGTCCCATATATCACCAGTGCTTGGTGACACTGTACTGTCAAGGCCTTCCCGTGGTTAACAAAGCTCACTGCAAGGACCTTCCCCCACAGTTCTCCCAGGACATAGGCTGCCCTGACTTTATGGGTACAGATGGCCAATGATAATTCTGGGGCTAAGCTCTCCAATGGGACAGTTGATTGAGCTCAGCAAAGACATGGGTACAGAGAGGCTCCTGAGAATGTGTGTGATCTAGAAGGGTTTCCGGAGGAAGGGCAGACTAGGTGTTTCATGATGCATAGGTGGAGGGGTGGGACTGGATCACATCTCTGAGCCTCGCTCTCCCCATCTACTACAAAAGTAGACTGGGCCAACATGACCTCCCAAAATGCCACCCCTTCTTCCTTAAGGACAGCCTGGTTCCCAGGGAGAGTTTCATTTTAGGCCTGTGTCCTGTCAGGAGCCCCAGGACAATGTCTTTCCTCTTTTGTCTTCTCTGTTAACCCTGGGTCACTTCCAGCCTGTGTCAAATTTTTAGTTGTTGTTATGATTGAGCCCCCACTAGTTTCTAGCTCTGAGGATATCTTTAACCTTGGGCCAGAAGAAAGAGGGCCAGCCCCAGCCCTGGGAGGACAGTGGAGTGGGAAATGAGGGGGTAGGAAATGAGGGGGCAGAGACTGACGCCCCAAAGAAAAGTACAGAAAAGGTCAACACATGCTCCCCGGCCCTGGTCACGTTGCTGGACTCCAGCGTATGAAGGCCGAGTTGAACTGAATCCAGGGAGTCTATTCAGAAGGAACTAGAGAGAGCTGGGTGTCTGCTGGAAGCCCAGACAGCAGGAAGGACCCAGTTGGGCGCTTTGCATGGAGGACATTGCCATCTAGTGGTCATTCTGTCTTGAGTCCAGTGTCAACATTCCTAGAATCTGAAGCCATCTTCAGGGTCCTTCAGCTTCCTTTGCTCCCTCCCCACTAGGTCATGGACAGTTCGATGCCCCTGATTGGAGAACACGTGGAAGAGGACAAGCAGCTAATGGCTGACCTTGTTGTCTCCAAGATGAGCCAACTCCTGGTACCAGGGGCCACGGTGCCCTCACCCCTGAGACCTTGGGTAAGGTTCTCTTGAGAACAAAGGAGATTAGTGGCTCTGGAATGAAAACCCCAGGATCCAAAGGAGATAGCCCCAGGCAGGCATCACGTAGGAGAATGGGGTGTGGACAGAGGCAAGCAGGGGCCTTGCAGGGACCCTTTCCCCTTCATATCCCCTAGGAAGATAACTCCTGTCCTATCAGCTTTTGGACAGATTGTTGGCAATGTTCATCTCTGTGTCCCCATGTTGGATCTGAGCAGAGGTGTGTGCAAGAATACATGTACACAAATGCTCTATGTTCCAAGTGCACAGGTCAATAGAAACTATTGTGTCTCAGGCTTCCCCATCCCCCAACCCAGCAATCTTACACCCCTCCCCTGCACAGGCCCCAGCAGGAACTACCAGACCACTGTTTAAAAGTTTGCCAGCTTCCAAACCTTCTGGGAAAGCAAGTTTCAAATCTTTCCCCTAATCCCAGCCCTACTTATCCCACAGAAACTCATCACTTCATAGACAGGGGATAGTAGTCACACATAAGGGCTGCTGGGAGCCAGAGGGCATTTGCAGCATCCTCCATGGTTATTCTAAAAAATCTATCGTGGGGTACACTGAAGAGTCGTCCATCGTGGATTTTACATCAGTGATTTCTACAAAATCTATCATGGGGTACACTGAAGAGTCGTCCATCGTGGATTTTACATCAGTGATTTTTTTTTTAAGAAAAGGCTTATCTAAGGCTTTGCCTCCCACCAGAAACACCGTAGCCACTGGCTTCCTTTCTCTTCTCCTACTCTAGGGTCCACAGACTAAACCTGCAAAATCTCCTGGGCAAGGCCAGCTAGGACCTCTGCTAGGACAGCCCCAGCCAAGGCCACCTCCACAAGGTAAGACACAGAACAGCCACTAAGAAGAACTGTATCAATGAAGTTGAAATGCAGCGCAGAGGACTGTGAGGTGTCTCAGGGACAAGAACTCCTTCTATGCAAGTATGAGGACATGAGTTCAAATCCCCATCACACAAGTAACAAGCTGGGCATAACCAAACATGCCCATAGCTACAGCACTGGGGGAAGGGAGGAACAGGCAGTTCTTGGGAATTGGCTGACCAGTTAATCTAACTCAAATGGCAGGCTTCAGGCTCAATAAGAGGTGCTGTCCAAAGCAATGGTTCTCAACCTGTGGCTCATAAACCTCTTAGGGTTATATATCAGATATCCTGCATAGCAGACATACACATTATGAATCATAATAATCGCAAAATTATAGTTATAAAGTAGCGACAAAAAGAATGTGATGGTTGGGTGGTCACTGAAATGTGAGGAACTAGGTTAAGGGGTCAGAGCATCAGGACGGTTGAGAAGCACCGGGCTAGGGGAGTAAGGTAGGATGCAACAGAGGAAGACAGTGTCCTCTGACCTCCACGTGTACATCCAGGGCATGTACATACAAAGAGCAACT